CGTGTGGACGTTTGTCGGCAACTCCTTGAACGAATGAAATGTTCATTCAAAAGACCATAATGGTTACGACATTGATACAGAAGTTCAATCATCACAATATATTAACAAATGATCCCACGCCCAAGAAAGCATTTCATTATCGATCCAATGTCAAAATGATACTGTTTTTTGGGCTTTTAATGGAACTGTGTATTTTGAATTATTGTCTGCAAGGTGAAATAGTGAATAGTTTGTACTCTCAAGACGTTTTACAACGGTTACGTGAAAAAATCCGCAAAAAGAGATCAGAGTTGTGGCGAGACACCTCATGGTTCTTACACCATGACAATCAGCTTTGTCGATTCGTCAATTCGTTCGTTTTGTGTCAAAAATCTGATTACTAGCATCCTTTAACCTCCTTACTCGTCAGACCTGGCTCCTTGCGATTTTCTCTTATTTTCGAAATTAAAATCAGTGCTGAAAGGAGGCCGTTTTGAGAATATTGATAACATCAAAGCAAATTCCTCACAAACTTTAAAGGACATTTCAAATGAAGCTATCCAGGACTACTTCGCTAAATGGTAACACCACTGAGAAAAGTGTGTGAATAAGGGAGTAGAGTACTTTGAAGGAGACAAGGACCATTAATGAATAAAATTAATAATAAAGTTTAAAATGATAAAGTTCGGTTATTATCTGAACGCACCTTGTACTATCATAAATGAATAAAATGCATTCACTCGGTACCTTTAATATGTTCACCCACACCAATTATTATTTGTAGTGTATAGAGCGCAATACATCCAAATCGTTAGTAATTGTTATGACGATGAGTCCTTTTAGCACTGTAAGTTTATCAGATCGTGAGCATTTCCTTTCAAATTATGAATAGTTACTGGACTTCTAAATAGTTCTAAATATTTTCCCATTGAAATGCATCCACCCTATATAAGTTATTATAGTAAGATTCCGCCCTTCAGACCTATTTTATGATATCTTAAAAAAGCATAATAAAGATTCTGACCTTAATCTATTTTTCTATATAGTTAATTACCTTTCAAAGCCATGTAAATATATCCTCTGATATTGTCTGCAGCTTGACGACTATAACTTAATTAATAAAATTGTATTTGTTTTGTTTATTAAACTAAGTACTGTTCTGGTTTATATACAGCGAGTCAAAGATCAAAAGTGTGTAGAATATTAACGAGAATCACGTCAATTTGTAATTAGGATGGAGATGGCATAAGAAATAGTGTGTGATCAAGAAGTAAATACTGATCAAGGTAGGATTTTGTTATTTTTTTTTCACACGATTTTGTTTTACGTTCTTTTACGGTACGGTAAATGCTAAATTTGTTAACATATACGTTTATATAAATAATGATTTTATTTCAATTTCTTAATGTGTTATTTTTTTAATATTACAAAGGTAACAATCAATAAATGAATGAATTATGTTTATTTTGCAATATGGCATACATTTATTTTTTAATGAAATTTTGTGTAGGTACGTTTGGAAATATGTCTGTTTTACAAATTTTATTTTTTTTAANTCATATACCCTCTTAATTTCTGGCGAATGACCCGGTTGTTGTCGAGATAACTGTTTTGTGATGACCCATGTATAAAAGGTAACAATACCAACAATAACATATATTTTACATTCAGTTTTAAAAGAAATTGAATTTTCATGTAAGTCACCTATTTCTTAACACTAATAGCTGTTTTAGAAAGTGGAAGAAAATTTTAAAAAAATACTACCTACACTTAAACAAATACATTCACAATGTGTCACTGTGATGCGGATTTTAGGCTGGAGGATCATGGGACCATTGTTCTTCGAAAATGCGGCTCGTGAGGAAATAACATTTAATGGTGCTCGCTATTGCGATATGATAATCCAGTTTTTTGTGTCTAAATTGCAAGCTATAAGTGTAGACGACATGCGGTTTCAACAAGACGGTGCCACATGCTCCGCAGCCAGAGAAACAATTCAATTACTGTATAATTCATTTCCTGGTCGGGTAATTTCCCGTTTTGGTGATCAGAATTGTCCGCCCAGATCATGAGATTTAACGCCGTTGGACAAGCCCACGACCACCCACGCTTTAAAGGAGGAAATTGAGCGGTCCTGGAAAATTTCGAGGGCGTATGTGTGAGCAAAGCCGTGCAGGCCATTTACCCGATATGCTTATTCCGTACATAACCCTATACTTACATATAGTCCAAGCATTCTGTCACGGATTAATGTTAAATTTGCAGAAATTATTACCTGGACAAAAAAAATATGACCGTATAGAAAATTAAATTTTAAATTGAGTTTCTTGTTCTTTAAACTCGATCCAATATGGCGAACATGGTTAAAAAAAATCGCAAAGTTGAAAAAAACGGTTTTTCTAAAATAACTAAAAAAATATAGCACGGATTGAAAAATTTTAAATGAGAAAGTTGTAGGTTTTAAAAAGATCTATCGACTGATTTTTTGAAAGTATCGATTGCTTTGTTACTTTTCGAGATATATCGAAAAAACCGTTAAAAATCTTCTCTTTTCTCTTCTTCTATAACTCGTTTACATTTACGTGCCCATATTTGCTATTTACTGCAAGCATAGCCCGCGGCAAGCCAAAAAAGTACATTTTTGAAAAATTTAAAAATATTAATTATTTTTCGAGATATATCGATTTTTTGAAAAAAAGGCGCTCTCGAAAATTGGCTAGATCTTCTCAGCGGATAGCCCTACAGTAACGATTTTCGGTTTATTTTCTTCGTAAAGAGTTATATTATCATGCTGTTAAAAAATGTTGACGATTTTATTAATTTTAAGGATCAAAAAATGACTGAAAAAGTTGCACTTTTTTTGGGTATGTTTTTTTCAAATAACTATTTCAATTTTTATTATTTTTTTGTACTTAATCTGGGGTAGCTAAACACGAATATTATAGCATTTTCGCCTTAGAAGCAAAATAGACCCGTAAATGTTTAGTTTTCTTTCTTTAAAAGTCATTTTCATAAAATAAAAATTGAAATAGTAATTTGAAAAAAACATACCCAAAAAAGTGCAACTTATTCAAAGTCATTTTTTGATCCTTAAAATTAATAAAATCGTCAACATTTTTTAACAGCATGATAATATAACTCTTTACGAAGAAAATAAACCGAAAATCGTTACTGTAGGGCTATCCGCTGAGAAGATCTAGCCAATTTTCGAGAGCGCCTTTTTTTCAAAAAATCGATATATCTCGAAAAATAATTAATATTTTTAAATTTTTCAAAAATGTACTTTTTTGGCTTGCCGCGGGCTATGCTTGCAGTAAATAGCAAATATGGGCACGTAAATGTAAACGAGTTATAGAAGAAGAGAAAAGAGAAGATTTTTAACGGTTTTTTCGATATATCTCGAAAAGTAACAAAGCAATCGATACTTTCAAAAAATCAGTCGATAGATCTTTTTAAAACCTACAACTTTCTCATTTAAAATTTTTCAATCCGTGCTATATTTTTTTAGTTATTTTAGAAAAACCGTTTTTTTCAACTTTGCGATTTTTTTTAACCATGTTCGCCATATTTGATCGAGTTTAAAGAACAAGAAACTCAATTTAAAATTTAATTTTCTATACGGTCATATTTTTTTTGTCCAGGTAATAATTTCTGTAAGCATTTCTCTATAATGCTTGGACTAATACTATACTTTATGAATCGACAAAAATGTACAATTTAATTTAATTAAAAATTTGTGTTTTCTATCGAAACTACTTCTTGCATGAATTTTGGGACACCCTTTACTACAGAAAAAGTTTCGAGAGGGTTTACAAATTTAATCTCGTTTCGAGGATACAACAACTGAAAAATTTAAAATTGTAATTTAGTAGGTACACTGTAAAAAAATATGAAATTCCCCTCAAATTGTACTTCATAATTTATAAACTTTTGTTCGCACACGACTGAGTCAAATTTTCGCTTACAATAAGTAAAACTGAAATTGGACTATTGGGACAGAAGTAAGTAATTTTACTCAAATCTGAGTTTCTGCCAACTATCCAGTGAATGACTTTTTACTCTATTCTGCGCAAGTAAGAGCAATTGAGAGTTAACTTTTTCTCTAATATGATTTATATTTAACAAATATTGAGCAATTTTTGTTATTCACACTTGGTTGACTAATGTAAGTTTCCACTTACTTCACTAATAAATTGATAATCTGGATACACAGGTTGTTCAAATTAGTTACACCATATACAGGGTGTCCAGGAAATAGTGGGCGATCTTTCATATTTGAATAAATCCTTCCAGAATAATGTTACAATTCAAATTACTACAGTAAAAATGTGATATTATTTTTATGAGACCTACCCAAATCTGAAACTATTGACCACCATTTCCTGGATACCATGTATATTTTATTTTTTCTGATAACTGAAATTAGATTAGAGAATAGAAACCAGGTAGTTTTTCTGATATTCAAAATTTAAGAAAATATGGTCTACATATAAGATATATCCTAATTTGACCCAGGAAGCAATTTTAATCGAGACTCACTATAATATTGTTCCTAATTATTATTGAAACCAATCACACCATTAAACGCATTGCCACCAGGTTAACCGGCTAATTCTATTTATAATCACCTTAAGTGGTCTAGGTGCCACACTGGCTGACCTTGTAGTGGGACGATGCGAATAATAAATAACGCACATGGTTATGAAATGGGGTAGGGGATGACTCAAAAATGAGGACATTTACTCCGATTTACTAAATACTTAACTGTTATATTAATTTGAATTAAATTAACCGGCTTTAGTTCACATATGGGGTCTATTCAGAAAATAACTGAACTTTTTGTGTTATGTGGCTGGCGACCAATTTTGCACACGGCTTTTGCGCACGGCACCAATATGCACACGACACTAATATGCACACGACACTACACCAGTTTATGTATATATATATATATATAAGTTCCGTGCTGCTGGTACTGGTTATTCTGTGAGTTTTAGGAAGACCTAAAACTGACCAAGTAATCAGGTGATTACAGTCGACGTTGAGATAACAAGTTTTAGTTCGAGCCGTGCTATGAGTGAGGATGGAATGTCCAGCAACACCCGTGGAATTAAGGTTCATACCTTAATTCCACGGGTGTTGCTGGACGTTCCAATTAACATTTTAATTTAATATTATAATTTAAAATGTTGTTTTCCATATAGCGAGGAAAGAACTGAATCAGGAGACCTCGACATCGAGCCGAGAGTTATTCCAGATAACCAAGAACAAGACCCAGACTACCGAACCCAATCCGAAGAAGAGGAAATTGCAAGGATCGAAACAGAGCACGAGTACGGCGTCCAAGCAACGGAGTCTCCAGTGGATAGAACGTCCCGTGAAAATTCTCCAACAGCTCGATAAGGATTGGAAAGTGGACTTACAACAACTGGATACAAACGATCGGAGGAGGTTCAGGAGATTTTACTGGATTTACCGTTGTTGGGGACCAACTCGTTCAGGGACTTAATTCACTTACTTGGGGAAGAGAAACGCGTCAGAGAAGTTGTCCAGACACGAAATCCCCAGCCTTACCTTACTCCGACATTAATTACGTGGCTAGAAGACTGCAAGAAAGAGGCAGTAAGTTCTGGACAATCTCAATATGTATATATAAGCTCCGTGCTGCTGGTGCTGGTTATTCTGTGAGTTTTAGGAAGCCACGTAATTAATGTCGGAGTAAGGTCGTACAATTGAAAATGATCCTCGACCAGAAAGGCCTTCGACTTTCACTGATAACTCCCACGTCAAAGGCAAAGATATGGTGCATGCAAATCGATGATTGACTGTCAAATAAATTGCAGAAGATCTCAATTGGGTCATACCATGAAATTTTTTGAATAATTGAACATGCATCGTGTTGCAGCTAAATTTGTTCCTCGTTTGATGACCGAACAACAGAATGACAATCGTGTGGACGTTTGTCGGCAACTCCTTAAACGAATGAAATGTTCATTCAAAAGACCATAATGGTTACGACATTGATACAGAAGTTCAATCATCACAATATATTAACAAATGATCCCACGCCCAAGAAAGCATTTCATTATCGATCCAATGTCAAAATGATACTGTTTTTTGGGCTTTTAATGGAACTGTGTATTTTGAATTATTGTCTGCAAGGTGAAATAGTGAATAGTTTGTACTCTCAAGACGTTTTACAACGGTTACGTGAAAAAATCCGCAAAAAGAGATCAGAGTTGTGGCGAGACACCTCATGGTTCTTACACCATGACAATCAGCTTTGTCGATTCGTCAATTCGTTCGTTTTGTGTCAAAAATCTGATTACTAGCATCCTTTAACCTCCTTACTCGTCAGACCTGGCTCCTTGCGATTTTCTCTTATTTTCGAAATTAAAATCAGTGCTGAAAGGAGGCCGTTTTGAGAATATTGATAACATCAAAGCAAATTCCTCACAAACTTTAAAGGACATTTCAAATGAAGCTATCCAGGACTACTTCGCTAAATGGTAACACCACTGAGAAAAGTGTGTGAATAAGGGAGTAGAGTACTTTGAAGGAGACAAGGACCATTAATGAATAAAATTAATAATAAAGTTTAAAATGATAAAGTTCGGTTATTATCTGAACGCACCTTGTACTATCATAAATGAATAAAATGCATTCACTCGGTACCTTTAATATGTTCACCCACACCAATTATTATTTGTAGTGTATAGAGCGCAATACATCCAAATCGTTAGTAATTGTTATGACGATGAGTCCTTTTAGCACTGTAAGTTTATCAGATCGTGAGCATTTCCTTTCAAATTATGAATAGTTACTGGACTTCTAGATAGTTCTAAATATTTTCCCATTGAAATGCATCCACCCTATATAAGTTATTATAGTAAGATTCCGCCCTTCAGACCTATTTTATGATATCTTAAAAAAGCATAATAAAGATTCTGACCTTAATCTATTTTTCTATATAGTTAATTACCTTTCAAAGCCATGTAAATATATCCTCTGATATTGTCTGCAGCTTGACGACTATAACTTAATTAATAAAATTGTATTTGTTTTGTTTATTAAACTAAGTACTGTTCTGGTTTATATACAGCGAGTCAAAGATCAAAAGTGTGTAGAATATTAACGAGAATCACGTCAATTTGTAATTAGGATGGAGATGGCATAAGAAATAGTGTGTGATCAAGAAGTAAATACTGATCAAGGTAGGATTTTGTTATTTTTTTTTCACACGATTTTGTTTTACGTTCTTTTACGGTACGGTAAATGCCAAATTTGTTAACATATACGTTTATATAAATAATGATTTTATTTCAATTTCTTAATGTGTTATTTTTTTAATATTACAAAGGTAACAATCAATAAATGAATGAATTATGTTTATTTTGCAATATGGCATAAAATTATTTTTTTAATGAAATTTTGTGTAGGTACGTTTGGAAATATGTCTGTTTTACAAATTTTATTTTTTTTTATAATTGTCGATATCCTGTGTCTTGGGTAAAAATATCATATCTATTTTAAAAGTACTCTACTAGACATTTATTCGATTTGAATCAATAAACACATTTTCCTACATAAGGTGTTCTAAAAATAAATGCGGAAACCGAAATAGTGAGCTTCTTGGCAAATTTTCACATAAAGTTTTTCAATTGAACTACTCTATGTAGTATAAAGTTATGGGGCTAGCGTTAAGGGAATTCATTTTTTTTTCAAAAATCATTCCATCTTGGAAAACCAAATTCGGTATAGATATTATACTCACCAAATGTTACTTTAATAACTTATTTGCTTTGTTTGTTCACTATAAGTTGATTCAACTTTTCTTTCTAACTATAAACATTTAATTCTGTCTCGGGTAGTGTTTGATGCTAGCTCCGCAACGAGCAACGGTATTTCCTTAAATAACAGGTTAATGGTAGGTCCTAAACTGCAAGAAGATATTTTTAATATTCTAATAAGATTTCGGAAACATCAGGTAGTAATCGCGGCTGATATTGAGAAAATGTATCGCCAAGTTTTGGTACGGGAAAATCAAAGAGATTTGCAATATGGTCAAGACATAGCCGCTTTGTTTTTCGTGTTTTGTTAGAGTTGGTTGTTTACTGTCATATTGACATCGATACATTTTAGAGCCCGATCACAATAAAAAAGGATCTACGAACTGCGGCTCCTGCAAGCCTGTCAGATTACTTCACAAGTTGTTTATATCTGATTTAATACAAAATACAATCCACTAATAAAAAGGGTCTTTCATTAACATTACAGTCTTCATTCAAGTAAATGTGATTTGCCATAGTTTTTCTTAAATAATCAGAAAAGTAATTAATTTTCATACTAATTACAACTACTGAAAGCTATAAAAATTAGAATTGTTAGATAATAAAATGTCGGTTTATACGAAAATGGTTGCAGGTTAATTTTCTTGGTTTTCAAATATTTTGGAAAATGAAAGAGAGGTGATTTAATCATTTCATGGTGACCGAAGACAAATACGTTTTTAAAGTATTTGATTTTTCATATGTTAATGGTTAAAAAAACCTGACGTGATTTCATCCCCTATGTTGTAGCCTTCTAGTTTTGCAGGGAATGATTAAATATAAAAATTTTATATAAAAGGATTTATTTTGTCCTTTATCGAATTGTTAGCATTTATTTCCGAAGTACACTGTATTACTGTTTTTTCATTTGTTTAAAGGGTGATATCTTTTTGTCATAGGAGATATTCAGAAAAAGAAAGAAATTTAAAATTTTTAAAACCTATGAAATGGGGTTACGTTATTTAAAAATATATTTTTTTATAATCTGGACTGAAAGAATAATACAACAAATTTAACAATAGTAAATATAAAAATTAACTGTACAACAAGGTGTTCAAAATAATATTTTTCTTCACTAGTGAACTTGTGTTACATGATTTTTTTTTATGAAAAAGAATTGTATAAATTAAAATTTTTCTATCAACGGTTAGTCGCATTTTTTTAAAACAAATAAGTATCTGTCATTTGAATAAAATTTAGTTATAAATTAGTTTGATAGTTTGGAAACCCGTCGTGACGAGAAGGCAACACCTGATGTGTGATCATGACAATCCAAATATAAACTATTTTTCGTACTAGTGTACAATATTTAATTTACACACCGGTGCAAAATGTTAATATTTTAGTCAAGGTAGTATGAAAAAATTGCAGTTTTCAATCCAACTTAACTAAAATTTCCAAAATTAAACTAAAATTGTGTAATGATAATTCTTAACTATAGAATAACATTAAAACATATTTTGACTCGTTTGTTTTGTATACTATTTATAAATTATCTTCGAAAATATAGATTATATTGAATTTTTTCTTTGATATTTTCCTAGAGTATTTAAAAATAATATACATTTTGGCATGAGTTGATCTTTAGCTAAGATAAACATTGACCTAAAGTTTGAGGAACGTGTGAAAACATAAACACATAATAGTAAATGTTTAAAATACACAATTAAAGCTAACAATATTGATACAGTACTTCTTTTGTATTATAAAAGAGGTATTTTAAATTCTATTTGAAGTGCTAAATTTAATATTAAACATCTGGTACTTATTTTAACGTCACAGCAGTATATTTGTCATAGGTCACCAAAAATGTACTAAAATAATCAGTATTTTAGGTACTTTAAGTACAACATACTGTTGTTAGAAACTATATCTATAAGATATAGTTTCTGGCATTGCTACTCAAAATTCTATTAAGAAATTTACTTAAAAAATCTAGAGTAACACAAAGTTCATGAAGTCATCGTGGGAAAAAATTCGTAATTTAACAAAGTAATGGACAATTTTATTTAAATTGCATATTTATGACCTACGGGAATAACAATTGTGATACATTTTGACATTATTTTGTGAACAATCATATATTTTTTTTTTCTAAATACTAAAAAGATAAGAGAGAGGATGGAAGAAATATAAATTATAGGTAGAAATAGGTACAGTGAATTAATTTTTTTTAGAAATATTGTTAATAAAACATTTTCTGTACAAAAAAACAAGAAAATATAAATAACTAAAAAAATAAAGAAATTCAACGAAAATTAGGTAAACCTTCTCGAATTTTTTGAAAATTGGTTTCCCATGATTAATAAAATCTTCATGGTTGTCAAAAATAAGGTTTCTGGGTATACTCATCATTGCCAAGCCATTGAGATGATTTTGTACCATAGTATTTCTCAGCCAGGTTTTTATTCTCCTTTTTTTTAATTTAAAATTTAAAATTCCAGGGCTAAATTTTTAAAATATGGAAATATGCAAATGTATTACTTTTTAACATAAAATTTTAATAAAATTATAAGTGCACTTTTTATGTGTGCGCTTAATAAATATGCAACTTACATTTCATTAACATAAATTAACATAACTAACAAAAATAAGTAAATTTTTCTAACAAAAGGACATCTGTATTATACGTAATTAATGTGCAGTAAATTATTTTTCAAACAAGATAACCTCGTAATCCCAAACATTGTATAACTTCTCCACTTTTTTATACACAAAATTCACCCAGTAGACATTTTTTGTTTAATCTTCTCTTTGATTATCAGAAATGGTCGATATTCTCCATAGTAACTAACTATTAATTAAAAAAATATTTACTGTTGACGTTTCTTAAGAAAACATGAAATACTTACTAATATAATAAATAATAATCATATGCTAATGATTTCATTTTTCTATACACCATCCATCAGCCAAAGCCAATTACACGATACGAAAAATATATAACAAGAGAAAACAAAAAAAGTTATGAATATAAAATAGGAATATAATATGTAGTACAAAACTTAACCATGTGTTAAGTTTATTTATTTATTTTTAATTCGTAACTAATTAAGAGTGCGTCAGATAAAAAAACGCAAAAGGACTTTTTGTTTCAAAATTCCACCCTCTTTCTACCCCTATGTGCCTGTCAATTATTTTTGGGACACCCTACATATTACATAATAAATAATATTTACATACAATACATGTAATCTATGTAATATAAAGTGTAATCTTAAGTTTATTATTAATAACACTAAACAACAGTGGACAATAACTTGTTTGCTTAAATAACAGAAAAATGTTGTGAAAACTGAAATAAAATAAAGAGCAATGAATATACAGATAAATGCATTTCGTACTAATCAATTGGAAATTAAATATATTTGGAAATGTAACAACAGATATGTACACAATCCACAATTATTGTTTTATATACTAAATGGAATTCAGGCCTACAATCTGAATTGCCCTTTAAAGTCACTCATATTTATAAATAATACCGCCAGTTTACAAAACAGCTTAATAGAAAATGTAAATTCAATTTTAACTTTTGTTTACATTTTCCCATACTTTGAGACTTTAATATGACCTGGTTACCTACTTTAATTTTTGGAAACATTAGGAACTACTGAGAATATTTAATTTCATCAATTGATCATTTTTATTGAAATTGTTAAGATATACTTTATAAAAACACATGGGTTACCTAAAAAATGAACTCGTGCAATGGAACTAAGGAGGCAGTAGATTATAGAAAAACTACAAGGTTTTATAAAAATTCTATAAACTGTAATAACATATATCTATTTTAAACGAGTTTTATGTATTTTTTACTCTAATACATTTTTTTAAGAAATTGGTCAGAGAATGATCACACAGTATGCATTTATAGAACTTCTTACCTACTTCTTAGCGAAATTTTAGGATAAATATGAATCATGTTAATAGCGAAATGCAGACTTAACTTATATCTTAAGAATGTCAGACTAGCTGCGCTAATAAACGTCAGTGATCTATGTCTATATCTATGTAATCATTGTAATCTATATTTAAAAATTCTAAAATGTAACTAAATGATGCGTAAATATCAACTAAAATTCTCAGAATTGACAAACAAATTAGAATTAGATTTACCAAATATTTTCGTATCTAATTTATTACAGTAGAGGAAGTAATATAAAAGTAATTAGATATACTTTAATAAATAATGCCAGTGGAAAAACATTTCATTTGAACTTGAATATTAAAACCTGCTGAAATGCGAAAAACGAGTAGAACATTACACAGGTACTGAAATTATAATTCTGAAATAAACAGTAAATACAAGAATGTAGCAACTACTAAAGTATAACACTCAACCACTGCTAAAAATATCGCCTGTCCCAAAATATACGCAAGGTTTGAATTTGGCGCTGTTTGTGCGGTTAAGTATTGCTAACGAAAAAGAAGACAGCCTGACAGCTGACAGTTAAGGATTATTAAAAATGGAGCGCTACAGGAAAGTACAACGTGTTTTCATTGTTGTGTATATTTTAAGAATAGTGAAGGTTTGGCAGCTACAGTACGCAATTTTCGTACAAAATGTGGTCGGAATAGTGATTTAACTTCATCAACTGTAAAGAGATTATTTGAAAAATTCTGGGAGACTGGGTCAATTACTGACCTTAAACACTCTGGCCGTCCTTCAATAAGTTGTTTAACACAAAACATCGAAACAGTTCGTGACAGTGTTGGTGAGAGTCCGGGAACATCAGTTCGGTACCTTGGTCAATAACTGGAGATTTCGAGAAGTTCTCTACAGCATATTCTCATTATGGTCCGAATAGTAGAACAGAATAGAATAGAATAGTCGGAACACAAAACATCGAAGCAGTTCGTAAGGGTGTTGCTGAGAGTTCAAGAACCGTGGTGAAGAATTGGACATTTCGGGAAGCTCTCTACAGCGTATTCTCACGAAAGATTTGCATCTTCATGTCTATAAAGTTCAATTGACTTAAGAATTGAAGCCTACTAACCACGCAGAGCGAATAAATTTCGTTGAATGGATTATGGAACAAGTGGATGCAGTTTTTTCGAAGAAAATCATCTTCAGCGGTTAGTTTTCATCTTGATAACTTCGTTAATTTACAAAATTGTCGCATTTGTAGTACAGAAAATCTACGAGTGATTGTTGAGAAACAAATGCATCTACAAAGTATTACCGTTTCGTGCGGATTTTGGGCTGGAGGCATCATCGGACATCATTCTTCTTCGAAAATGCTGCTGGTAAGGCAATAATAGTTAATGGTGCTCGCTATCGCGACATGATAATTCAGTTTTTTGTGGATGTAGATGATATGTGGTTTCAACAAGACGGTGCCACATGTCACGGTCCTGTAATTTCTCGCTTTGGTGACCAGAATTGGCCGTCCAGATCATGCGATTTAACGTCTTTGAATTTATTTTTTGGGGCTTTTTGAAGTCTAAGATTTTTGCCAACAAACCACAACCACCCACGCCAAATTCAGCCGCATTTATGCAAAACGATCATGGAAAATTTCGACAAAAAAGTGCGCATGTGCCAGCAAAGTCCTGGAGGACATTTACCCGATATGCTGTTCCATACATAACCCTATACTGTATACTTTATTAATCAATAAGAAAATTACAATTTTTAATTAAAAACCTTTGTTTTCTATCAAAATTACTTGAATTTTGTGTTTAAAGGAGCTAGTTTATTTAAACGAACGTATATCGATAACATAAAAGCTATTTAAGTAATTTGATTTAAAATGTCACAATCTGATCACAAAAATAAACAATAAAATAAACTGGAACTGCAGCATTCAATCCCAATCTTTCCTAAAATTTGACATATTTTTGCATAAGGAAACACGAATATTCCACTTCAGAAAACAAAATAACTTACCCAATCCTGCCCGAATAAACTTTATCAGTATTTAAAATGTTTGACGAGGTATTCTCAAATGGCATTGGGTTATCGGTTATTATTGGAAGAGTTTGTTATTAATTTTACTTTCAATTGTAGATTAGTCACATACTCGATTATTAATCAACATAATAAATTACACCATTGTTGATATATAAATATTAAAAAGAAATTATTTAGATAATTAAAATAAACCATTAGTCAGATCTATTTCCGTAGACAAATAGCAGTGTTAATCTAAAAATTGACCAACAGACGCTCATGCACATAAGCACGCAAGTACACTCAAATGTACGGCAGCTTATATTTCCAGTAGCTGCTTGCAAATTTGAAAAGAAACAAAATTAGCGGAATTTAATAAAAATAAGCAATAAAAAATTGAACACTGATTTTACTAATATCATGTTTTGCGGCATCGCCAATGCGGCACTTTTGCGCGGCGCTATTGCATGTACGTTGCCGGCCTCCATCTCCAGTTACAGAGTCTCTTCTGAAGAAGAAGGCGGCACGTCTCTCGAAACGTCAAGGAGTCGAAGTCAATGACGGGGCAAGCAGCCCGGAAATCGTTCAACCAGTTTAAAGAAATATTCAATAAGGACTAACTACAAAATATGAAACAAAATTCATGGGAAAATTGATAAACTAATATTTTGTTTAAAAAGTTAAGGCGAAAGTTGATGATATTCATATTGAGATGGAGCTACTCATTTAGAATACATTAATTTTTAAACAACGTTACTAAATAGACATCGGAAACTTTATGGTGATAATCAAATAAATAAACAGTAGTAATCTGTATTATGCTAGTAAGCGACAATACGAGTTGTAGTAGTAGAAATAGGCTAAATCTGTGGCCAAGTCGTGTGTTTCTCTATGTTCCCAATAGATAATGCTACTGACTATTATAAAAACAGGTGCCATATACTCGACCAAGCAAAGCGTCAAACTCACTCACAAAAGCACAAACGACAATGAAATGTATGGCCAACGTCCCTCAGTTAAAAACCGAGATTGTTCACCGGCACGCCAGGCCGACAGAGCAGGCATTAGGGTGTCGCTATATACGTATCGAATAAATTGATCGATGCCAAGCTTCAGATCAGAAGCAGGCATGTACGTGTTATTATTATACAATGATCCGGATAGAGGGATTACTAAAATGTGAAGTAGTTGATGCTTTGCCACCATTAAAAACTTCAACTAGAGTATGAAGAAATTTGTTTGTTTCACCATTACACATCACACACCAATAAACAACTCTTTGTACCGGAAGGATAAGTAGTAAAGATTTGTTAAGTATTTTTTTATATTGTCTATTATCGAATACTGACGAAAGATTTTTATTTCACGAAAAGCACGATATATTTAAATATTTTAATAATTTATTTGCCAGTTTCGTGTAGGTAATAAGAATTCAAATCATCACGAAACATACCCTGTTCCTCAGAAAGAGAAATGATGAAGAGACCGAAATATTATATCACACTCGTATAAGTATCAGAATTTTTTCCACTGAAAGCAATATTATTAAGAATCTTCCTGTTTCTGCATTTTTATTTGAAAAAGTGGACGAATATTCTATCTTGATGTACACTATGGTTGTGTTCAGAGAACGGTCGGACTAGTTCGGTTAAACTTCTTTAGTCAAACAATTCTCTGAACGGCCTTTAGTAACTGTATTAAAACCTGCCCAATATTCTAAATCAGCTGATTGGGCTAACCAACAAAATATTTGTCAGCTAAACGACTTTAACCGGTCCGATTCGCTGAACACAGCCTATATATCATGAAGAAAAATCCAGTCACAGGTTTTTACTTGATCAAACAAACATTATAATGTAAAAATTTCAGATTTCATCCCTTTCCTTAATGTTAATGATGGCCAAAACGTGACAGCAACAACTTCGGTTTTTTAAAATAACAAATGAACCAAGTAACTACCTAATCGCAATATAAAAATGTTTAAATTTGATTGAATAATTTTGTAGATATTCTGATTTGTTTAAACAAGAATGCTTTTGAATTTACGTGATTTTTTAGTCAATACAAACGGTGTTTTAAATGTTGTTCTTTCAACTTTTGCTTTTCATAAAATAAAGATTTTATAATTCTAGTGCACATTTATTAACAATGAATTTCTGCTGCAATGTTGAAATAGTGCCATATTTCCCGAGCGAATTTCAAATTTTCAATCAACTTTCCAATTCGCAAGGACAATTACAACCAAAGCTGAGACACATGTCCGAAGGGATCCAAATCACCCTCCACGAGAAGTAGAATATACTGCGCGGAAATTTTCGACTATGTTTCGTAAATTTCTGCAGCAGTTGGTTACGAAGTTCCCAAGCCACCTAGAAACACCAGAGCCATAGGAGAAGGCACCGCCTTAGTCCGATGCTGTTGGCAGGGCAGCCAGCGATGACGTGTCACAGAAATAGAAAACTCACCCCAGTTTCGAATTTCGGAAAATTCTCCGAAAATTGCGAAAAACAAACTGGGGAACCGCAATACAAAACTGCATAATCACGTCCATTCCAAGCGATTACAGGTAATCCAAAGATGGGCAAAATCTAAAATCGCTAATTGTGCAAACCTAAAGCGGACTTCGTTACGGAACCTCTGCGGGCTCATCGACGGAACATCGACCCTGGTATCCAGGTTTGCATTGTATAAAGCTTTTGCAGATCATAAATTGCAACTTCATTCACATAGAAGGCCTACACAAATTACAAGAAGATTCCAAATTTGCAGGTACTCGCAAGATACCTCGAAAACTGTGTTGGACAAGGCAAAGCCTAAAAGTCAGTGGTAGAGACACAAAAGTAACCATACTCGAAGAATCCACAAAAACATATTTAGTGCATCAGGTACAAAAGTGGAATAGGGCAAAATAAATTAGATTGTTGCCCAGGTTTCCAGGAACTTTCCTCGTCTCCGGTAAAGTACAATTGGTCAACGCGACATCCACACCCCCAAGCATCCGTTGAAGTTGGCATTATGATGGAGGCGTCATTTGGCATGGAGCAGGAAACGAGAATCGTAAGCAGGGGTCTCGGTAAAAATGCCAGTTCTTGCCTTGCCATACTATAGGTAATACCCGAGTGAATGATGAAATTAGATCTTCTTATTAGTGGGATTAAAGCCTATTTTTTAGATAAAAAAAAGAGTTTCATCAATATATATATATTTATTTATTTTAAAAATTTCTCAAAAATTGTCTGCTCATAATTATACCATTGACAGAGAATTTTAAGTCTTTTCACTCCTATCATATAAGGTATTATTTGATCACCTTATATTTAACAAACATTGAACTTGTAGTTGTTATGTAGAAGGCATTAGGTATGAAATTTACATATCATGATGTGATTTCGATGATAAAGAAAAGAGACACTTAGACAAATCTCGCCATGTTCAGAATCAAATTAAATACACATTTTATTGTAAAACATCAATGTAATGAGTTCTAAATTGCATTATAGACATTGCATAGTTTGAACTGTAGATGCAAATAAAAACTAAAACAAAACGAATAGCAACGGTTATGAAAACAGCACAGCAATTAGTAAAAAGGATGAATGTTTTTCATACAACTACTAGCAGTAAATAGATAACTTATTGCACTTTTTCGTTAATTACTAAATTTAATCAAAACAACTTTAATGATGATTTATTTGGGATTGAACGCAATAATTAAAAGTTTGTTCGTAAATTATACGTACTGATTTCACTTGAACGCTTGGACGATAAATTATAAAAAGCTTATGTTTATAAAAAAAAACTTATAAACATTTCGAACGAATGAAGTAAAGAGGCATTATCGAATTACGACCGAATTATGCGTATTAATGAAATTTCCATACCCAGTGAGAGGCGGGTTCTTAGCAAGATCTGGTTGAAAATTTTGAGTTGTAATAAAACTGTTTCGATGCGGTAAGTTTTACATAACTTAAGTATTTACGCATGCTTGTACATCTCTAAACGTCTAAAGCAACAGAATAAAAACAAAATTATTTTCAGTTTTTAAACAAAAATCAAGGAAAATTAAAGCACATAACCCACAGTCTATCTATCTATCTTTGTATAAAAATCATTAATTAATGCAACGTCGTACAACCTCTTGAAATATCATGTAAGAATACTAGGTATTGACTTCATATTACGTTTTTTTACTTATTTCAGGAATCAAACCCCCTTTGCGATTTAGGAGAATACCGTTGGTTTAATTGCATAATATATTAATAAATAAGAACGTAATTTTAAATTACTAAAGTTTACTGTACTACTACTATACTAGTAGTAATATTATTAAAATATTAGTAATTAATTTTCACCCAACACCTAAATAAATTATTTTGAGGAAATAATATATTTAGTCAATTTATGCATAAATTAAATTTGATATGAAATATTTTCCCCTTATATAATTATTTACATAATCTTCAAGAACTTTACAACACCCTTTATTGTATTTGATATTTATTTTAAATGATGATGATGATGATATTAGACAATTTAGACTACATTACATTTTTCTTTATATTTTCAGAATATGTGTCTCTGTAAACTTATCAGTGTAAATGCCTTATTAGTATTATGCAATGCAATTTTTGCCAAAGAAGATCCAATCGTGGATACTAAATATGGAGTTATTAAGGGAAAAATTATTTGTTCGAGATCCGGAACGCCATTCTATGCTTTCCAAGGGATACCATACGCGAAACCTCCGGTAGGAAATCTTAGGTTTAAGGTAAGTTGAAACTACTATTTACAATACAAAAAACAAATGGTGGTCAGATTCTTTAGTCAAGTAATTTCTTTGTTAGTTGAACTTTTCCAAGTTGCCACTGGATGTTGTTTACATTGTTTATATAAGGTACTAGCATGCAAGAACTGCACAGTATTGAGTTTGAGATCTAGACCAGCGCTTAAGCCTTCAAAAATGGTAAAAAGTGAAAAAAAATTATAGTAGGATGAAACCCATTGGAAAAGGAAGAGAATATAACAGAAATGAAAGGAAAAATAATTTACGGGCGATCTGAGGTCGGGAAGGGGAAGGGGGTGAGTTTTTAATTTAATAAATCAACTTTTTTACTGAAAAAAATAGCAGCAGCCACATTTTTTAGATAAAATCCCCTTTAAATTCTACCATTAATATTTAGAACAACTATTTTCGCATGTTTTTTGCAATCTTTATGTTTTATGGATGTCTAATTTTTTTGTTTATCAATGTAACATGGAATCTTACGTTTTTCGAGTAATTAAAGTGTAAATTTTAATAAATAGCTCAAAATTGTACATAATGATTAGAAAAAAAATTTCGGATTCTAGTTTTTTTCGTTTCTTTGCATTTCCTGAGAAAACTTACCATAGTAATGTATATTTTTTTTAACCATCAGAAAGTAGAGATTTCAACGAAGAAAAAGCCCACCGACGTTTTTAAAAAAGCAGATATTTTGACGTGAGAATTTTCGATTGAAAATTAGGGTGCTTTTTCGATATTAAGTAAAAATAAGGTGAAAAAATAAATATTTCAAATCAAAAAAATTACAGCGTGTTTGGGACATAAATAGGTAAGTTTTCACCAAATTTCGTGAAAAAAAAATTTGTTTGTAAAAGATAAAAATAAAAAACCAAAAACTTGGTTATTTGAATTTTTCACATAAATTTTGAGGTTATGTGAAAAAAGTGGAAACACAAAAGTTGTAGATCTTTTTATTACCTACAACTTTGCTATTTAACTTTTTTCCATAAGACTTGTAGTTTTTCCGGAAATCAAGGGAAACTGTTTTTTACCCTTAAAAACTCATCCCCTTCGCCTTCCCGACCTCAGATCGCCCGTAAATTGTTTTTCCTTTCATTTCTGTTATATTCTCTTTCTTTTCCAATGGGCTTCATCCTACTATAATTTTTTTTGGTTTCAAAAATTATCGACCCTGGTCTAATCTGTATCTCTAATGGTTATTGGATAAAGTTGAGTTCTAAGAATCGTTATGGGAAAAAATTGCTGATGTTTTTTTTTGTTTTTACAAAATCAATGCTGGAAGTTTGTTGAAATTAAATTTGTACTTTGTTTTTAAATAAAGTTAATTATAACTGATAAACTAAATTAATGGCATTTGCGAGAGGTGCAAGTAAGATAATAATAAACAAGAGAGGTAACTCCTATATGACTACGAAATTTATTATTAATTAATTACCCTTGCAACATTTGAAGAGTGTAAATAAATAAGGCGTATAAATTAAGAAGGTTGAGTATGAAGGGGAGGGGGGTTCCTTTATGTAAAAAGAGTACTAAAGGGGTGTAGTTTGTCATCACTGAATGTGCCAGTTAGAATGATCAAAATTATATTTTTAGTTCTAATTGGTAAGAGTATTTGAAAGAGGCAGCACACTACAAATCGAATTTATATTCTTTGTTTTTCATTTTTAGTTTAGTTTGAGCCATAATCAAATTTTGAGTGCTTTTCCGATTTTTACATCCGCCAGGTTCATAACCAGCGACCCCAAAAACTCGCGGTAACAAAATTCAGGAAAAAATATTGAAAAGAAAAATGTTTCACAAAAGGGGTAAGTGGGACCCTTTGATAGATAGATAGATAGATAGATAGATAGATAGATAGATAGATAGATAGATAGATAGATAGATAGATAGATAGATAGATAGATAGATAGATAGATATTAGTGTTGGTACACACAAATTGTTTACACACGTCAAAAAAAAAATTATAGTAGTAATATAAAATCATTATGAAACAAATATAATTGCAAAATAACAACACTGTACACCGAACACAGCACAGTTTGTAGNCTATTTAAACTTCGAGACCTTGTATCTTCAAAGCGAAGACTTCGAGGACAAAAAATTTAAAGGAATAGGAAAATTACAAGTAGTTATAAAAAATTCCCAAAATACAATTAACTTAAAAAAATTCTGTCACTACGAAATGGGCCTTTTTGGATAAATCTACTACGTTTATATTTAATCAACTCTAACCTTAGATTTTTCAGCGGCTTCACGATTGTCGTTACATTTTTCTCGACGCATCTGCTGTAGTACTTGAGGAAATCTGGAAAAAAATTTATTACATTTACAATTTTCTTAAATATAGTAAAATAAGCAGATGTATTACTACAACTACCGATTTGCACCGATAGTTTTTCAAGAATGTTTTGTAAAAAGAAAATTAAATTCCACAAAACACAAAATACATGTTTGTTTTTATTGTTTTTAATAATTGCATCCCGAAACAAAGACTGCCTTAGAAAAATATACAGGATGTCCGGAAGTGAATGAGATGTAGGTACCTTCTTCAAGGATAGCTTCCTTGGATGAAAATAAACCCATTTAGATCAATAACATTTTGTTAAGACAAAAAATAAAAATGTTTTAAATCAGATTTTTTAGATAACTGTGTCGTTGCTAGATATTTCAATAATTTTTTTCTTTTTTTTGAGATAAGCCACTATGAATTTGAATTTATATTTTTACTTAAAAACTAGTAGTCCCAAAGGACAATTCCAAGTTTTTTTTTTAGATAGATAGATAGATATTTATTAGTGTTAGTACACAAAAAGTGTTTACACACGTCAAAAAAAAAATTATAGTAGTAATATAAAATCATTATGAAAAAAAAAAAATTGCAAAATATACAACACTGTACACCGAACACAGCACAGTTTGTAGGCGATTACCAACCTTTTAAGGGATAAGTTATATTATATTATTTTGGTCTGTTGTCTATCAACCTACATTTATACATATATTTGGTAGTATAAAATACAAGGCTTATAGTGTTTCACATTGTTTTGCGCCAACATTCGTTATTAGGCGTGAAATTAACCCCTCGTAGGGGTGGGTGTGAATTTAATTTGCAAATACTTATTTCTTTCTAATGCTTAAAATATGATTGTAAAATGTTTTCTCAAAATATTTAGAAATTGTTGCTTTTCATTATAAAACTTTACCTTATCCTCACTATTTCACCGTATTTTAGGTGATATTTTAGCGTTTTACTAAAAAATTACCCGTTAAATCGGTTTTTGGGTGCGGATCCGGATACAGCAAAATACACAAGATCTACAGCGTGTTTCTTAAGTAGAGGTTAAAAATCCAGGGACGTATTCTGTGACCAAAAATGAGTTTTTTTTGTTATATGTATAAATGTGGGGTCTGTCCAGCTACAGCGTGTAAAAAATTAAAATAAAAATCAGTTTTAATTTTTAATTTCTAAACGGCTTGAGATAATTTAACCAAATTTAGTGTGCATATTTAGTATGACAGTAGGTATGAAACAAAAAATTACCAGTTTTAAAGACTTGCCAGTGGCGGAGGTGTGGGTATCATCGATCATTATTTGCCAAAAAGATATATCATCCTGTATAAATAAAATATGCGCCATTGTATTATCTTCACTTTTTATTTCTTTACACTTTTTTGTATACGGAACAACGGAACCGATTAACAACACAATTACAGTTACTTAAATTACTTAAACATATCTTAGGGAGGCCATGCAAAACAATAATAATAAGAAGCCGTCATCTTATTTAATATTGTGTGTTGTCAAATTAAGCTTATTTTTTTAAAAGATCAAATTTTAATAATGGCTTATGCATATTCAAATGCTGAAATGGCCAATATCTTTTACATTTATGGCCTTACAGATGGAAACGGTACTAAGGCTAGGCGAATTTATATGAAAAGATTTCCAAATCATCCAACTCCAAATCCAAAAATGTTCATAAATGTTCATAAATGTTTTTATTTTGTTATTATTTTAAGTAATTTAATGAGTATCGTGAAAATGCAGTTGTTCAAATAAATAAATTTTGTTGTTAATCGGTGCGGAATACTAAAATGTGTAAAGAAACAAAAAGTGAAGATAATACAATGGCGCAAGTGATGATCTATTTCATTTGTAATAGTATTATATAGGGTGACATTATTGATTTTTGGCAAATAATGATCCATGTTGGCCTTCGTCAGTGGTAAGTCTCTAAAGCTGGTAATTTTTTGTTTAATACCTACTGTCATACTAAATATGTACACCGAATTTGGTTAAATTATCTCAAGAGGTTTAGAAATGAAAAACTGATTTTTATTTTAATTTTTGACATGCTGTAGCTGAACAAAGGCTGTCCTAAGACCCTACATTTATATTACAAAAAACCCTTATTTTTGGCCACAGAATACTCCCCTGGATTTTTGACATCCACTTAAGGAACATCCTGTATATACTTGTCTCTGGCACGGAACTTCTTTTTGTGGGGCTGTGTAGCTATCATGATAAAATTTGCTTCATCTGTAAACAAAATCTGTTCCCAATTTATGATTTTGCCTAATATTTCTCAGAATCCGGTAAGAAAATGCCAAGACATTGTGGAAATCTAGCGGTAAAAGAGCTTGGACTCGTTGTATTTAAAAGGCATATAAAAGTTGTTCTTTAAGATGCCGCATATGGTTGGTATTTTACTGCAAATATTTCAGCGTAAATTCGGGATGTTTACCATTGGCAAGACCATAAACGGAATATATGTACGTCATTTCGGCGTTAGCATGGTTTTGCATATTGAATAAATAAATTATATTTGCAGAAAAAGCCATTGGCAGTAACGGCAATAACATTAATATAATTAATTAAAAGTTAATTTAATAATTAGTGAATTAGTAGTTAATCATTTATTAACGACGCTCAACTAGTATATGACAACTAACTATTATTTTTTTATTTTAATGCACATGCGTATATATCATTTTTTTAAATCAAAACTTGTTACATTTACAAAAAAATAGAAGAGGTCAAATCTGTTTCAAATAAGTAAAGTAATCTAAAATATAATTTTAAATTATCAAATTGGCGATAGAAAAAAAGTTACGCAAGAAATGACTTTATGATGGATACTACCTTGCAATCGAAAGGAAAGATCAAGAAACTAACCAGTAAATTCCTCTTTGATAGCAGGAAAAGAGTACGTAACTTTATTTTTGCAATTTTCTTCATTTTTAAGGAAAAAAATAAGAACAATTTTGTTCTCCTACTTTTTTTACAATAGAGGCCCTCCTTAATTTGCAACGAGGACCGACTTAATTTGTTCGAACTTATTTATTTACAATCATAGAATTATTTTATTACGAAAGTAAAAATAACAACGCTACAAAAAATTGTGTTCTGGGTCGGGGTCTGTCGGGTGCACCCTATCGTATTTTAACTGGCTAAATCTGAGTTGGTGTTTTGACCCTAACACCAAGACATCCTTCTAGAAAGTGGCTTTCGAAATTTTAAACTGACTTTTTTGTTGCGCTGTGTAATCAGTAAATGATCTTATTGATTTTAGGCTCCTGTAGAACCTAGTAAATGGCCTGATATTCTGACAACACAAGAGAATGCTCCACATTGTTTGCAAAAGAACTATTTATTTTCAAACCCTAGAGTCATAGGTTCTGAAGAATGCTTATATTTAAATGTTTATACGCCGAAGGTAAAAAATACTTAATTTTATACATGGTATTTTTAAGTTTATGTCATAATTTCACAAGATTATTCCGTGCGTCAATGTGGACCAAGAAGTAAGTCTTAAGGCTGGTGTTTTATAGACAAAAAATCCCTGTGTTGGATACTTTTAGAATTACCTTAGATTATTTAATTAACTGTGATTTATGAGAACGTTAATTTCAAATTAAAAAAATAGTAACTGAAAAAAGGATCTCTTTTCAAATAACGTAGAAACCAGCTTTTTCCTAGAAAGAACCGTAAAGATAAAGAACATTAGAAATAAATGCACTTATCTTTTTAACTTGTTAGTGACGGTACCTCTCTATATTTCCGCCACTGGTTAACGGACTTGTTTTCCAATTCCAGTTTAGTAAATTCATAACTAAATTTACTAAGGCCCGTGTTTCTTTAATTTTGATGAAACATTTTCAAAGATAAGAGATGATAAAAATGTGATATTCTTTAAGCTTCACCATACAGTTTCTTAAAAACCATTGGCTTTAGATTTTTACTTCCTTCAGATCTTTTGGTTCAAAAAATAATACAAAGGCAACTTTTAAAGTTATAGCATGAACTTAAAAACCCTCAGTAAGTATAGCATCACGAATATCTTTTTGAAGTATGTAATTCTCAATTTCAGCTGCGTGCTAGAAGACAAATCTCTGGTAAACCGCTTCTGCCCGTCATGGTTTTTATCCACTGGGGAGGCTTTTTTACAGGATTTTCCAGTAGTGATTACTTAGGACCTGAATATATTATGGATAAAAATGTTATTTTGGTAACGTTTAACTACAGATTAGGTATTCTAGGTAATTTATAAAATGGTGTGAATAATATTGACTGCAATATTTTTATTTAAGGAGTAGGACTGTATATTGCATATTTTCGAGAAATCTATTTTTTTCCATTTAAAAGTTGATTTGAACCTTTAGAATAAAAGGAAAAAAGTTTTATGCCTGTAAAAAATTTTTTTCTTTGAAATTTTTAGCTCTTTCCCAAGCGCGTAGGACTGCTCCGAAACCTACCATCGGAATATAGATACCCTATAGCTTAATGACATACCATTTGATTTCTAACTTCTTTAATGGATGACGTTAATATTAATAAATGTCATTAGAAGAAGTTTGTATTCCATTAGGTACAAGTATTTTCAAACGAAAGTATAGTAGTAGTATAGCGTCTAGCTAAAAACATTAAAGACGTTTTTCTCGAAACACGACTTTTTAAAACGTCATGCAGCGTAATTTCAACAAGTTTCATTATACTCTCTCTAAATTTTGACCATATCTTTAAAATAACATCCCGAAGAGAATTACTTACGAAAGTTTTGATAAGTTGATTCGAACAATATTTATTCTCAAATGATAGCCCCTTTTTTTTCAAAAATTTAGCTTTTTACATCAAATGCTCGCAAACACAAAAATTGATGTTTGCAACGTTCCCTATATATTTCTCTAACCATACGTATGTAGATTAAGAAAGATTTTTTTGTTTTTTCCATATTCTAAGGTGCGTGCGCACAGCGCCTCAAATTCAACAACACACAAGAAACACTTAAAGACAATCTTCTTAAAAAAAATTGCAAAAAACGCTTTATTTTAGAATTTTGCCGTGGTGTTACCCTTAATAGAAATAGTTCAATGATTTAATATTACAAGAAAAACAAATTGTTCTGTATATTCTCTTAATGTGTTACAAAACGAAATAAACCAATATTATGTATATGTTTATATTCGCATATTACTGCTAAATAGAAGTGTATACACTAACGTGACTGTAGTACAACTGCTGTTTTGCCCCTTCTTTTTCGTCACCTAGAAGCCTAGATGGCGCCGATGCCGTAATATTAGATTAAATTGTAGAACTTATACAATTACTTATCTAACTAACATTAATATGAAAGTTCACAATTGTTCCTCAAATCGTAACAGGAACAAATTGCGTGAAAACTCTATATTTACATTGTGATAATTTTTACCAATAACTAGTAGATCTTCTCAAATTTTCAGATAATATTATATGAAGGTTTCATACACTTTGTTCATGTCACGATTTTTGGAACAATTGTGTGATTTTTATGGCAGGGTTTTCTGTGTAGTGAAAGGCAAATTTTGTAATTGCTTCTACAGCTTTGAATTTGTACAAAATGATGAATGGTCTCAGAGATCTGCAGTGTTTGGCTTACCTTTGTCTCTCATACTGCCAAATATGAATAAATATATTTTTATGACGCTAAAGAGCTGTATATGGACTAAGGAAAATACCAAAGTAACGAATGTTTTATGGAATAATCTTTTACCTCAAAATTTTTTGCTAACCTCAATAATATGTTTTTTTTTATTTATTATAAACTCAACTGATCGCTTGACTTATGGTCTAGTAGTTAAAAAAATATAATATATATATATATATATATAGTTTCCAAATAAAATCGTTAGACAAAAGTTATTGCTTCTGGTGAATTAAATTCTTGGCTAAAATTATAGCATAGTTAGAAAAAAATATGATCTTGAAAACAAACCAATACGGTCCTGTACATGGAAAAACTGCACGAAAAAACTAATATTTTATTAGTTCCATCTTGGTCATTTTGATTTGTCCAAACTGGAACAACCTGTATGGGTTGTCCCATGAAATAAAACTATTTTTACCTCTTAATGTACATTTTTCTTGTACTTTGGTTATATTCGGCTACATTAAAAGACCACCCTGTATGATTTACTAATTAATCTCTTTCTATCAACTTATCTATCTTTTTGGATGTAAAATTTTCCTCATTACATTCCACTTTTCCTTGATACACGTTAAGTATAGATATCCCATATCCAGTGAAGTTGAGGCATATTGAAATCATTAGTTGAAGTATTTGTTATCAACTGAAAGGTAATTACTTATTTTGTTTTAGGATTTTTCAGTACAAATGACGATGCAGCGCCTGGAAACTATGGATTAAAGGATCAAGTGGCTGCTTTGAAATGGGTTAAAAATAATATTGAATATTTCGGAGGAAATAGCGAAAGAGTGACAATTTTTGGACAAAGTGCCGGAGGCGCTAGTGTACATTTTCATATGTTTAGTCCTGAATCGAAAAGTAAGTCATTTTCTTTCATATACAGGGTGTTTCTTAATAACGTGCTAATATTTAAGGGGGTTATTCTTGGGTCCATTTTGAGAAAAAAAACTTCATATGAACATATGTCCTAAAAGTCTTAACTTTTGAACTACAGGGTGCTAAAGTTTTATGAAAAAACATTTTTTTATTATAACCGTTATTACCCTAGATATTTTTTCAAATTTGGTAGACGCCTTCTATTCATCGAGATGCATTTTCTGATGTACAAACAATTTTATTATTTTTGCCATTGGCGTCTGTACAGGTTTTGTATTGAATATTTCTTTTTTCTTCAAAAATATTCAATACAAAACCTGTACCTTAAAATGGACCCAAGAATAACCTCCTTAAATATTAGCACGTTATTAAGAAACACCCTGTATGTATACGTATGCATTTAGGATCTAATTTATAAAATTTTTATCATAATTCAAACTAATAATCTAAATAGGTATCTGTTGCCAATATAGTTAATAGTTATAAATGTTATTTACCACTTTCTTATTTTTATATACAATGAGGGAATTTTGACTTTGTTAAGTCAGTAGTCTCTACAATTTTGTCGTTGGAAAATTGCAACACCTGTATACTGTGGTATATGCGTGAATGCGACAGATGTTGCATACACATGGGACATGTACTTATTAGAATAGCGATTAAATTGTATTATTCCTAATTAATGAGGCTTTTTAGGTTTCACTCATTCCTGCACACAACTGTGGTTAGGACTTACCAACGTAAGTCGTTCGTAGGCACAAATGTAGCCTATGAAAAATAATATGTCGCCTCCTTTCCCCCACATGTCTCCGACTTCTTTGCTTTGTTAGAATAAGAAATAGAGGTGCATTATCGTTCGATAGTGATAGTGCATTAATTTTGCTAGATTTGCTGAAGTCCTTTAAATACAATCATCAATTTATACAGACGTCGCCAATATGCAATAATAATTTTTAATTTGTAACAGCGCAGTACTGATAGTGGTAGTCTCAATATTTAGTAACAAGAAAATGCGTCCCCATGTACAACAGAACAACTACGTCGCGTAACACGGTCGCGTTGATATGGACGGGCACACTGCAACATTGTAACCTCACCCCGTGTCATCAGTTGTCGGTTTGTAGTGCCTCATCAAATAAATACTATGTTCCTATGTGTTGCCCGCCTGGATCTGTCACGTATCATCAGTTTGACTGCAAACATGGAGAGGTTATAGGAAAGAACTTTCTATGGAAGGGCAGATTACCATTATTCGCATAAATCTGCGTAACATCATCTTGAACAGCAATGTTTTGCGCGACATAGTTGCATTACAGCTTTGCCAAAAACAGAGGAGCAAAAAAATGGCGATGTATTAAAAAATATTGCAAATGGTGAAACCTCATCGACTCATATTCGGTATAATTAATATAAAAAATCGCCAACAGTACGTTTGGACGACTCGAATCGTGTAGTGCTACGAAGGACCAATAAAAATTGGTACATCAAGAAAAAACAGGACCTACATTTAGACGTATGCATAGAAAGATCCATGAACATGTGGGATATACCGACAGCGGAGAAACGCTTTGTAAGCTTTTGGACACCATAGGATTCTGGTGGCACAAACAGAAGTCTATCGAGGACTATTAATAGAACGTTATGTGTTACAGGGCTTCAAGTAATTTTTTTAAGAACAATTTGACATTTCCGAGGAGAGGATTGACCAATACATAAAACGTACATTCATTCTTCGCACGCCCATGGAAATGCTTGGTGTGATGAAAGCAGCAGGGCCCTGAAGACCTCTCTCAAAAGGAGAATGTTTAGTTATAGTTCATGCTAGATGTATGTATATGTCAAGGGATATCAAGATGACATGAACTATCAAAATTACAAAAAATGGTTACAAACGAAACTTATACATTGCCACCATGTTCTGTATTAGCGATTAACAAATGCACCATATCATAAACGTATAAGCATAAAAATGAAGCAATGGTTACAAGACAAAGGAAATCAATTTGCGGATATGTTAAAAGTATTATATACAGGGGGAGTCAGTTTTTTGTAGACAAACTTTAACAGGACATAGAACACATGTTTTTAAAAAGAAAAGTTCCTATAAACATATGTCGTAGAAGGCTTCGTTTCCGAGATACAGGGTGTTGAATATAATTTTTTTTCTCGAATTTTCATTATAACTTATAAACGAATGCTTAGATTTTTTTCATGTTTGGGAGATAATGCCTATTAATTAAGGGGCATAAAACAAACGATAAGAATGTTCAAAAACTTGCACAGTGGCGTAGTGGAGGGGGTGCTCAACCCCTTTCTTAAACAGAACTTCTACGCCAATGACTATTTTAAAAAAAAAACTGTTATTTTCATTAAACATACAGTTTAACAAAAATAATTTCCCTTCTTCTGTCTCGAAATTCCTGTGCATTTCCGAGTTATTTTGATTTTTAGTGTTTGTTGTGGTACTAAATTCAGCAATTTATTTATTATCAATTATCGGCTAAATATTTAATTCTTTCAACGAAACCTACCTAAATTTGGTTTGTTAAGAATTCTAAAAAGCCGAAATCTCTTATTCTTTATCTCTTTCCAATGTAGTCAAAATAAATATTTGTTATATATATATTTGTTAAGGTATACTCCAATATAAGACTTTTATAAGTTGAAATCTGTTACATTACATACATACAATACATTATTGTGCAGTTGCCAAAAAGTTTTAGGAAGTTGTTAATTAAATATTGTTGTAAATTCAAAAAATTTCCCCATAAACATTAACATCAATGTTCATTCAATGTCTTTTTTAGTAATTTAGTTGCAGTACATTAGTATTTACGCAGCACACTAAACAGATTTCAACTTATAAAAGTCTTGTATTTGAGTATGGCTTGATATAACAAGTATTTATTTTGACTACATTGGAAAATGTATGCATAAACCAACATTTAAAATATATGAAGTCGATCAACCTTTACAGTAGGAAGGTCATATTCTGAGACAACCACCCTGATCTGGACCTTATCAAACCTGTTTGGGCGACAATATGTCGCTAGTAAAAATGTCACTTTCACTTTGACTGACGTAGAAAAGTTATGCCATGAATTTTTCGACACAATTACACTACAAGAATGGATTACTCGCTGCCAACATGCCAAAAAGAATTGAATCGTAATTAAGACACAGAACCTGTGCTTGACCACTGGCTATCGACCAAATTGTTATAAACTTTTAAGATAGTGATCATTGAGATGGTGAATAATACTTTTCTAATTGATACTAGTGATAGTGAAAATGAAGAGAAGACGTTTGACCATTATTTTAATTTTTGTGAGTTGTATTTACATGTCTATAATAAAAACTAATACATGTAAATATTAACACAAATTTTATTTTTCTCACAATTACTAGGACTACCTATTTTCAGAATTTAGTACCAATTTGTAATTTTAGAGTGTAAATATATTATCTATTAATAAATAAATTTTGTTGTAATAAGATCAAGTGTATATTATAAAACCTTGATTAAATAACTATACTATACTATACTAATAAACCTAAGTAAAATTTTTGCACAGAAGGTACCTGCCCTACTTTAAGGTATTCAGATTTTGTTACTCCCGATGTGCATCTCACGGAGAAGATGAATTTTGTCAAATGGTACAATGTTCTGTTGCATGTATGGACCCTCTTTTAGCTATAGGTACAGCTGGCACAAAGCGTATACTACAGCCAATATTGGTATTACACGCACATCCCGCCGTCACGTCCTTATAAATAGTCAAATTCACAATAATGATAATAATTTAATAAAAAGAGCGATTCAAATGGTACCTACCCATTTATTTTAAAATAAATACTAATACATTAGGCGAAATGATTAATAATTATTACTTACCTACCTTATAAAATAAAATATTTATTTGATTTTAGGGATTAGAGCGTACTTACTTTTGCTTTGTATACATTTTGCATCAATGAGTATTTTTAGCAACAAAAATAATATAAAATTATTTTAGACCTATTTCATCGAGGCATCAGTCAAAGTGGCACTTCTCTAGCATTGTGGGCGAAACCTTTGTCTGAAACTCAATTAATATTAGCTCAAACTCAAGCAACTTTAATGGGATGCCAAGAACTAGAGAATACCACGGTTTTAGTGGAATGTTTAAGGACTAAAAACGCAGAGAAACTTGTTGAAAGCGGCGACAAATTCAAGGTACGTTGAATAGATAAAACTGCAATTTAGTTCTCATTCTCAAGAATAGAAAAAAGTGGTACATTAAGCCTATAGAACTTATTACTGCATATTTAGCTTGCTGGAAGTTTATATACAGTAGGCAGACAATAAAGAAAATTTAGCCGCATGTAAGACAATGAAAACTTGCTTTCTATTTATGGCGCCTGCAACTGTGATGATTAACTAGACTGCAATTTTGATTAAAATTACATTAATTTGTTCTAGAGTAAATGAGAGTATAGAAAGTGCTTAAAGTATATTGTATTTAATAAGGCCAATTCCATTTACTGCAATTAAGTTGTTCTATGGTGTAGTTTCCTTGAATTATCTTGATTATTAAATACCTACTATACTTTTCGTATTTTACATAAAACATTTGTTCATTACCAAAATTATTCTTTTTATGAAATACACATACAGTGTTAGATCGAAAGGCCTTAATCAATCAAATGTCTAAAGCCACTATGTTTCAAGATACAGGCTATTAAAGTTGAAAATAGCATTTGCTCAAAAATATCATCTGCAGCGATGTTTGATGTAAATTGTTGACACTTGGACTAATAACAACTAAATATAAAAAATTTCGCTGTTGGTATAAAAATTTTTTAACCAGTATGAAAGGCCAAGTAAAAAATAAATACTTTTCCTTTAATTATATACAATGGGTCTGTGATCACGCGGAGAGTCTTTATTTATTGTCTATTTAAAAAAGGCATAAAATTCTGTACCTTTGAATACAACTGCCGTTTTCAAATAACAGATTATTTTCGGAAGAATATAGAAATTAAGTGCATATTTAAATACGTACATATCTAAATACTCGTATTTACATACTAGTAATAATTAAATTACATAAAATTTTTACAGATTATAAATTAATTATTTTTAAGGAAATATGTAATATCATTATTCTTTTGGGCTAATCAAAGCGACTAGAATGAAAGGTAGATATATTATTTTTTTCATAGCTTTCACTGGTGTATCCTCCCGATGAACGGGTTAAGACCAAGTCCATCAGAAGTTTGTTTTTGGTTTAAAAAAAATCGTTATATTACATGTATGAAGAATGACTGCTTTTTGCGCAATGGTATCCGAAACGCATTATATATGAATTCTATGACTAATTTTAAGCAAAAATTACTCATATTATACGATCAATTGTTTCAGCATAGGAATGGCATTTTCTGTATTTATCATTTGTTATTGTATCGTCCTTTGAAATACGTTTTTTATAAGCATTTGTAGCTATGACCTGATTTTGAAATGTAGTATAATTGTAAGTTATACCCTGAAACTGAAGATTTTCAGGGTATAACTGACCTTTTTGTAAGAATCTGTATGACTGACCTTTTTTTACCAGTTCCTGACATTATTATAGTGTCTACCATGTAGCGGTTGAAGACGAAAGCATGTTCTTGCGTTCATAGGTTTAGGGGTGCGCAATTTATGTAATGGGTGTTTTTTTATTATGGAAATGGGATCTTAAGGATTTTATCTGTTTGATGCACAGTTCTTGTAAGTTTATTCTAATATTATTCCTCATCCTCCTTCTTTTCTACTTAATGTTATTCTTTCTTTATATGAGTTGGTATGCAGTTTCCTATTTTTCGTTACTTAATAGTGTTCTGGTTAATATATTTTTATATTTTAAGTCTGTTTTGAACCATTTTATTACACCAAAAGAGTATGTAAGGATTGAAACATCGAAGGAGTTAATAGATATAAACAGATTTTTCGAGTTCAATTTTGATTTAAGGAGCAGGCACAATTTATTTTTGCTCAAGATCTCGTTTTGTTGTGGTATAATTCGATTTGTTTTTTAATTAAATTCTGAATATATATATAATTCATGTTTGTCTATTTTCTTTTATTATTATTCTTATTTTTCTTTCCAAAAAAATATTTAATATTGCATTTTCAAAATTTATATACCTGTCATTATTATAGCAGGCATATGTTCAAAGGTGCAGAACTACTTTTTTCAAAAATACAAAGAATGTGTTAAAAAATTTCGATTACCTTTGACATTTTCAGTTTTTTTCTGTCGACCCACTAAATGTATATCTACCTTCTATAGAACAAAAAACTGAAAATAACCCGAATCCCTTCATTACTAAACAACCAATTGAGTACATAAGAAGCCAAGAATTTTATAAAGTACCTTGGATTGTTGGAGTAGTCACTGACGAGGGACTTGTTAGAGCGGAAGGTAATTATTTATTATATTATACAGGGTGATTCAGTCATAATGTCATTAATTTTAACCACGTATTCGGAAGGCTTAATAAAGACAGAAAATCAACCCATAACTCCCGCTAAGAGGGCGGCCCTGCCAGATGCCCGGATGCTCGGAAAATTTTGTAACGTAATGTCACGAACAAATCGTCAGCTGAAGCGAACAGCGTTGCCAAGTTCACATCATAGTCTGTGGTTCACATTTAATTAATCCGCTTTAGTATACGGATACATATGTACGAAACCAATAAAATGCAAGTAAATAAACGATCATGCTGCATTTTATTATAACTAATTTTAATAATTGTATTAATTTAGTGCAAAATGTTTTAACAAGCCTGACTTCTCGAAGTCAACTTCCGTTAAAAGAAAATAAATAAAGCAGAGGTTTGTAGGCACACTGTATTTTATCAAATAAAATAAGTCGGCACACTAAATACCCAAATATACAAAATACACTACACACGGTTACAAAACCATTACCTACCTAACAATTTAAAGCGTTTATTCAAATCTACCACCCTCCATATCTCCCGCATTTTTCCCGCAAAGGAGTTAACATAATATATTTTCAAAAAGTTCAAGCTTTAGAAGCAGCTAATTTCCCCAATCGTCTTGAATTTTGCAATTGGTTCCTAAGTGCAGCAGAACTTTATTAACAAAGTGCTCTGGACGGATGAATGCTGTTTTATTCGTGCCGGCATTTTAAACAGGTAAAAAACATAAGTATTGCTTTCTCAAAAACAATAAGTGCCTACCTAGGTTACACCAAAGTTTAGATTTACACTAAAGTTTACATTTATTATGCAAACTGCATATTGAATAATAAATTAAAATACTAAAACTGTGTATTATTTAACATAATAAATTATAAAACGTGAAAACATTAATAACAATAAAAATGATAAATTGTAATAACCGTACATTCGAAAACAATCATCCCTAGTCATTACATTCAATTTGATGACACGATTTTCATTTGATAAAAGACCGACAACTTTTAGCTCTACTTTGCATGGAATACGATCCTACTACAGTTCGTATTAGTCTAGGAGGCAGATCAGGTTCCCTGTACTAGCTATAAAAATAAACTTTTTACAACCATTTAAACATTTAATTTGTTGATAACAATTAAACTGACCCCTTTCAGGCTTTGGCGACCAAGTTTTTTGGATTCAGGAGGTCAAAATACTTTAGAATAAGTTGTTTGCAGCCGCGTCACTCTGGTTGGCAACGGAACCATGTCTGGCTCCTAGACCAAAGTGCACGTACAAATTAGAAGGTTATTGACCTCGACACAGGTTAGCCTAGGTCGGAAACACGTACCGAGTTGTTTATTTGTTTCCATCTGATTGTATTTTTATCTTCTATTACTTACAGTCAATATTTAAATACTACACACATTTCACCCTCTCTTTATTTATCTTAATGTATCTAGTGAGTGTTGGTTTTTTATGACATTATTTCTGTAATGAAATTGAAATGGTTATGAAATGAAATTTAAATTATTTGAACTCTTGGGGTTTTGTAACTTCAATATTAAAATTTATTTAATGTGAAACAGAGCCAATTTCTTTGCAGCCATAATAGTCACATTTGGTTAGATGAAAACCCACACACTACTCGTCGGTTTAGCTTTCAGAGGAGATACGGTGTCAATATATGGGCAGGAGTATATGGCGATTGTTTAATTGAGCCGCATTTTCTACCTAAACATCTGAATGGGCCGCGTTACTTTCAATTTTTAGTAGAAGAAGCAAATTAAAAAATTATCACTATGATATTAATAAAAAATGATTTTTGGCCAGGTATGCTCAGACCTCATCGAGGCTGGGCAACAAGAACAATTTAATATGTTGATTGCATAATAATAAAAAATAATTTATAGTATTTTAAATTATTATTGGCTGACGTGACAAACCGTTTATTTATTGTATTTATATGAGCCAAAATATATGAATATGACAACATTGCATCTAGGGCGCTTTGTTCATATCGTAGCCGGCTGACGTCAGCCGGTCAGTAACAGCCTGAAAAAGGGGTTAAATAATGATTTGAAAATATTTTTTTTTTTTCAGCTTAAATATGCATTTATTTTTTTTAATCACGCCATCGTATTATACTCATTTTTCTCTATCTGCTCTTAAAATTACTGACATTATGACTGAATTACCCTGTATAAGGTATTTCACTCTTAATTCCATGTAATCTCTTATATTTGCAGCAATTTTAAGGCAGTCGACAACAAGAAAAGCATTAAATAAGCATTTTAACACGTTGATGCCAGAATTGATAGCCTTATCTATGAGTACGCCGTCCAGTAACGTATCAAGAATATGGACCAAAATAAAGGAATTTTATTTTAGAGGCACAAAGGAAATAAACATTACTGATCCGTATAATGTGAAGGCACTGATAGATGTGAGTATGACTAGATATACAGGGTGATTCATTAATAATTGTGCATACGCTAACTGGATAATCATGGACTGAAAATATGAAGAATTGACACATAGCGCTTAGATACAATATGGCTCCATACGGAGTTACAGGGTGTTTTATTTAAAAATGATTTTTGGCCATTAATAAAACTGTAAAACCTAATTCAACAAATCCAATGCAATCCCATGACAGAAGACACCGACTTGAATAATAATAATATGACAAATAAATTACATAATAAAATAAAATGATTGTGCAGCCCTATGTTTAACTTTAAAAACCTCGAGAAATAATAACTTTTACTGCTATGAAGGAATAGTAGGTTGATTATATAGAAATTATTGAAGTATTGTACCAAAATAAAAATTCCGCCGGTGGGGTAGAAGTTAGGAACGGGAAATTGTCCCTCTACCCCTGTCGTACGCCTCTGGTAGTAGCCGTGAACGATTTTGTAGCATTTTTTAATATGTTCTAAAGTATCTAAACGTTATGCCACATATGATAGGGAAATATCAAATAGGGTTAAAGTAATGTGCAACAATTAAAGTCATTTTTTTTTAAATAAAACACCCTGCAACTCATCTATGAAGCTTTATATATTTACTATAATCGGTAATACAGTTATAGAACAAAACTAAAATATTATAACTGCAACATCCTGTTTCTCGGAAACTGTCAAATTTTGGATTAAATCATATTTTGGGCCCAGGAATATATGGAATAATTTTGGCGAGACCTTTTAGGCACCCTATACATTATATATGTATTAAACTCTTAAGTATCCGAATTAAGTTCCATAAATTAAAGAGAACGATTGTATTTTTCACTTTCTGATTTATGAATATAAACAATACAGGGTGTTCTACAAGCTCTATGACACACTTTGTCTGGGTAGCTGGGTTAATTTCAAACATTTGCTCTTATACGAACATAGGTCCGATTCGTTTTTGTTTAGAAGTTACAAGCACTTTCAAAAATATAATATCATATTTCAAAGTAGCAAGATAAATAAAAATGATGCTATAAATAATTATTATTTGTGGTTAAAGTTTAAACATTAGTTAATCTCTATTAACCAAATTAATCAATGTTAAGACTATAAAAATTGTTCAAAATGTCCACCTCGAATGCAAGCCACACATCGGCGAACTAAAGATTCCTTCACTCGACGGATGAGATTTGTATCAATTCTTATCTAGTTAGCTGCATCCTGAATTCTTCCAAGTAACTGCTGCCCAGTAATTTCAACAGAGGGTAGACAGGCTGCTTCATATGTCCCCATAAATAAAAGTCCAAATGATTTAGATCTGGGGAGTGCAGTGGTCATGCTATTGGACCTTGTCTTGTTATTCAGGAAGTGATCATTTAACCAAGTAGTTACTTGTCTCCCTTTATGTGGTGCTGATACCATATATTTTGAACAATATTAAGCCCTACGTCATCAATGAAATCAAAAAGGTTGTTTTCCAAGAAAGTTATATGCAGATGTGCATTTAAACGATCGTTTAAAACATGTGGGTATAGGCAGTAAGTTATTGTTGAAAATGCTACCCCAAACATTAACACTGAAACTTTGCTGAAATCGTCTTGATCTAATTGTTCATGTAAACAGTGACCGGTAACTAAGGCTTGTACATTTTGGCAATGAAACGAATGTAACATTTCCCTGTTCAATACACGTCATAGAAAATTCGGTGATAAATGAAGATTACTTGTTATACGCCGAACACTAATTGAAGAGTTGTCAATGACATCATGACATCATCATCTTCTTCATTTTGTACATTCATTTCTGTAGGACGAATGGCCTTTTTTGCAGCGGGGTTACCTTCTTCTCGAAGTCTGCGAAATGATGCATTAAAGACTGCGTGGCATGTTAATGTCTATTTGGGTATCTTCGTCGATATTCTCCGGTTGCTTATCTGGCGTTCCCATTGGAATACACATATGCAAAGACAATATTTGCATACTTCTAAGTTGTAAATAAATGCATTTTTTATTTAGCACTTTAACGCTAAGTGTCAAATGAATAAACAAAATGACACAAATAATAATTATTGTTATAGCAACCATCATCTTTATTTGTCAGGCTACTTTGACTGAAGTATAAAATTATATTTTTTTAAATAGTTGTAACCGAGGGGTAAACCGCTCCCTGAATTCTGTACAAAAACTTTTCTATACTTCCTCAAATTTCCTCGGACCTTCTCTAGACTGCTTCGTAATTCCTCCACATAAATGTTTAACATTCCCCGCATTTTTCTACCACGATTAACCTCGGTAATAACCATTTTTGTTCAAAGGACGTTTCAACTCTGTGACAAGCGCACGCTTGAATCCATATTTTGGTCAGTTTTGAGATTTGTAAGGATGAAAATGTGAGATATTTCTCTCCCTGATGCCCAAAAACCCAAACTTTTACCGTAAATACGATCAATTGTCTATAAGAGCGTAATTAATATAATGCAAAATATCTTTTCAATCCTAGAAATTGCTCAGGATCTAGCGGTGTTTTCGTGACTATTGCTCATTTGCCATGTTTCTATTTTATAACTTTGTGGCAAAGTTTCAAAGTCCAGTTTTGCACTGTTCGAATGTTATTTACCTAAAATAATTATATTTACTAAATGGTTTCAAATTACAAATTTCCCGGGCACCTGTCAAAAGGATACTTTGCTTCACGAAACGCTTCTGTGAGACGTTTGACAGCCTGACATACTGCGCATGCGTTTACCGTTCACGCATGCGCAGTTTGGTTCCAACTTCCCGACTTCCTCCAAACTTCCTTCAGACTTCCTCAACTTCCTTGGAATTCCTAAAAACTTCCCCGACTTCCTTCGGAATTCCTTTCAACTTCCTCAACTTCCTTATAACTTCCTCCAACTTCTTCTCGACTTCCTGGGGGCATATACAAAAACTTCCCCAGCGGTTTACCCCTCGGTTGTAACTTATAAACAAAAACGAATCGGACCCTATGTTCATAAAAGATGTTTGAAATTAACCCAGCTACCATCTGTTAAAGTTTGTCATAGAGCTTCTAGAACACCCTGTATAAATATCTAATTAGTGTATATTCAAATAATTAGAACTGGTAGTACCAAGTTGCAAGTTGTTGCAGAGGTACATGTAATTAATATCTTATTTTCAATTATATCATTCATAAATCTAACCTTGACATAGTATTTAAATATTTATTTACAATTAATACTGCTAGATACGTTTTATGTTCAGATTCTTGATAGCATTCTTCCGTTTGTTTCATGCGTTATTATAATTACATTGTTGGTTCTGAGAATTATGTCCTAGATAACGTGCTTCAAAAAAATGTATTAGTTTCCGTTATTAATACAAATACCTATACATTTTTTGATTTTACATATTTGAAACAAATAAGTAAGTCCGTTCATTGAAATTAAAAATTTTAAATATTACACATTAAATTCGACAAATTTTAAATATTAAAAATTATTAAAATATTGTTTTTGAGAGGTAGGTTTTTTTTAATTTTTAATTTGCAACCTCGCCAACGCATCTAGAAGCATGAACGCAACAACAGGTTTTTTTTTCTTGTAAAAAATATAAAAAATCAGAACACGAAATTTGTTCCTAAATTGATAAATGTTTCATTTTCTGTTCTAATACAGGGTGTTCTAAAAGTAGTCAAAGTTTTTTCAGCTATCGATGAATTTAAGGGCGACCATAATAATAAAATGTAGCAGTATCATTATATTTTCCGTTTTATCCCCTTTGGTTCTCTACAATAGTCTGATATCGTGTATAAAACATTTAACTTTTTTTTTAATGTTTGAAAAACTTTATACATTTGTGCATTCTTATGGTCTTTGTACGGATTTTGATTTGCGTAAAAAACATCATATGGCAGTGTTGGTTTATTAGTCCCGTAGATAAAAAAAACTAAAAATATATTGATAAGTACAGCATTTCTTTATTTGTAGTATGTTCGTGCTAAAATTAATTTTTCTAGCCGCAGTCGTTTTGAGAAAAGTTAATAAACCGTTATTTTTAACTCTACATAAGAGATAGTACTTTTTGTAAGAGCGTAGGCCAAATCTGATTACAGAATTCTCCACAAAAATGTGTTACAGACTTGGGAAGGGAAATGCTTGGTTTATACTTTATCCAATTAAAGTTAAAAAGTCAATGAATTAATATATAAATCTGTCAACTATAGTAGGATCGTATTCGATGCAAAGTAGAGCAAAAAGTTGTCAGTCTTTTATCAAAGGAAAATCGTGTCATCATTTTTAGGAGGCGTAAGATAAATCATTTCAAATTTAAACTGAAATTCAATATAAAATCTGAAATACCGCTGCATACGCACTGTGTTTTGGTAGTAGCTGTAGTCGCCCAGGTGCATCGAGTGTACGAATTGGTCGGTTATACGTCAAATACTAACCTGGCGAGCTTTGCCGTCAATTAGAGAGCGCTTCCAAAAAACAAGTAACCAACAGTGGCGCGTACAGAGGTAAAATGTAGTACATATGTGGAATTTAGGAAACAAATTGGATTTATAATAAATTACATTTAAAATAAATAGTTTATGAGAATAAAGGAATTTTTGTAGGAACAAGGGTGCCAGACCTGAACTGATCCCCTCGTCCCTTCATAATGTAAAAAGAAATTATTCAATTTGTAAAACCCTTAAAAGCGTACTTCATTGGTTCCCTTGACAGACAATGATTTATTACGTTGCATCGAATATGATCCTACTATAGTGGTGGAGATAGTAGAAGTCATTTTCGGTAAGAACTACAAAATTTCGGTGTTTACATTTACACAGTTCCTAATATGGTTTCTAAGGAAAAAGATACCTCTCTATTAGAAATAGGTACTAGCAATTATGGAGTTTTATTGTTTTCGGTTTAAATAAGATTATTAAATAACTGAATAAATTAAAAATACCTGAAAATTATTAACTTCATTAAAATAATAATAGAAATATTTAGTTCGAAATACAA